AAGCGCGCTTGATACTCTGAAATGCTTCTTGTTGTGCTGCTGACCAACTTCATTCAATGTCCTTGTGAGCTAATCTCAGTGGCTCACAAAGTTCTGAGAGCTTGCTTAGGAACTTGGGCAGGTAGTTCTAGGCCTACCAGTCCTCTAACTGCAGCTACATCGTTTGGTCTTTCCATTTTCAGTATTGCATCAACTTTGCTTGGGTCGGGTTTCACTCCTTCAGGTGTAAGAACATGAGCAATAAAGGGCGTTTCTGAACACTTCAGTTGTTGCTTGTCTCGGTTAAGCGTCAAATTTCTCTCTCTGCACCTGTCTAACTACCTCAGTAACTTGGCATCATGATCTTTCACAGCTTCATCAATGCTCACACCATGGCATGTAATAGGCTTGTCATTTGCAATTTTGTATATTTCATTCAGGCCCTCTAAATTATGATCCAGTTTTCTCTGGAAGTATTCTGGTGCAGGAGAAATTCCAAAAGGCATTTGCAAATAACAGTACCAGCCCTAAGGGATTTGGAACGTAGTCTCTGTGGCATGTCTGTAAAGTAGCTAATTAGCTAAGAACGTTGACCACGTTAAATAAAGGGTATTGTATTGTATTGTATTGTAGTCAACTTTCTAGACTACTAGGTTCCAAATTCACAGGTTTCAGCAAGAGCTCGCAAAGTAGTCACATACGTATCGATTGATTCTGTTTGTTCTTGAGAATGGTTATTGAATTTGTATTGCCAATGCAATGCATCTCCCACAATTACAGGACCTTGGTCATGTCGGATTTCTCCTCTTCACTTGTAAAAGGTAGATCATTATGGATTTTGAGGGCTTCTTTACCAATGCAGGTGATAAATGTTGCAATGCGAAGGCAGCTCGTTTTATTTTGAAGGTCGGTCACCTCTTCGTGAGCATCCCATACTTGTCGCCATTGCTTCTACTCTTTGGACAAATTTCCATTGTGTATTTCCAGTTTCGGCAGTAGAAATACATGCACATAAATGGAGAAGCCTTAATACTTGCAGAAGGTGTGGTAGTGAATGTGGTAGTGCCTGAATTCGTATCACCATCACTCAGCATATTTGACGCAGTTCGGGCTGGTTTCTTCTGACACCATAATATATAGATTTAGCCAGGGCTAAAAGTGAAGCTCCTGTTAATAAATTCATAATTTAAATCAAACTATAAACTTGTAATCCACAGATCAGGGCACATTCATTTGACTTTTGAGGCAAAGGCAGAGTGATTTTAGAGAAAAATAATTTGACAGAAGAGTGAAACAGCTTTTACATCGAGTTATTAAACAGTCTTATTTGTACACCCAAAAATAGCAATCGTGTTCAATCACAGTAGATTAGGCCTGGAAAACAAATAGACCTACCTATTCGAGTATTGTATTTGCATTAGCTGTTGCATCATAATGTGGCATTCACCAGTCTCTCCAACATTGCTCTGTTTGAGAGACTATGGATAATTGGACTACCCTGAAATATAATTTTAAGAAACACACGCGCCACGACAGTCCTTGGTGGCAGCCAATTTACACGTTGCATTCCTCTGAGAGGCCAAAATAAGAAATCAGGCCAGATTTTTTGTGTTTGACAAGTTTAGTTTACTAGTAAATTAAATCTTGGTGACGAATATGGTGGCCGCACTTCCTTTGCACAACAAATCATAGCATTGAATTATAAAACGTTTTCATGAAGAGAATTCTATAATACCAGGACTTTTCAGTTAGAAAAATCTGGTCCTATGTGATATGCAGGGTAATAATTATAGGCTTTTCATGAAAACGATAAAAAAATTCCCAAAATCACTTTTCGGCCATTTACGCTTCAACGTGATAGGTAAATTGTTATGTTTAGGTTTTATTTCCCTTTGTTTATTAAACTGTGCATGGTTTTGTTATGTGTAATCTTTAAAAGCGAGTGATATTTACGCACGGCGTTTTGAGTATTCCTGCATGCAATGTTTATGTTCGACTGGAAACAACCGGTGCAACGATAAAAATTACGAGAGACTACTAACAATCAATAAAATAAATATAATTCAGTGAAACATGTACAGAAACAATAATTTTCATTCACGAAGAGAAGTATTGAGAGTGAAGTGTCTCTGAAAATCATGAGTCAGGTAAGCATAAGTTCGGCTTCCCGGTGTTGGCTCTTTTTCAAGGTGAACTCGAGGCAAGAAAGTCGCTCAGAGCTTTCTGTTTACAGCCAAAATCATAACTAAATAATCTTCGCAACCTTTTCTTTGAATTTGCGGTCAAAAAATGTCTTGAGGCTTTTTAAACCTGATACTATTGTAGGTTAGATCATTGCTCGTGTATAAACTTTGGCCACATAAACCATATGCTCGACTTCAGGAAACCAAAAAAAAAAACACATCAAAGACAATAATTGCTCAGGCTTACCAGTCGAGATGCTGCTTCTGAAGGTCATCAAGTGTTCAAGAATCGCTTGAGACTTTTCAACCCTCTTACGCCTATTAAGGAAAAGTAAACTAAATTATAGCCTGTTTTACATGAATGCCGTGTCGGAATTAATTAAGAATCGTCGGAAATTAGTCAGAGATGTTGCTTGCCTAGCAGCTAAAAGTAGACTGTTCCAGAGGACTGCACCACTATAGGCAAAGCTATTTTTGTAATGGTTAGTATGTGGCAATGGTATTGCAAGCTTATTATCAGAATCGCGCAAATTGTAAGAAGTAATCACATCACTCTGTTGAATGAATTTCGAGGACAAATAATTCGGTGCGAGGCCATTTAAGGTCTTGTAGACCATCTCAGCCTTTAGTTTTTGACGTCAAGTTTCTAAATTGTCCCAGCCTAATTCTTTAAGCAGTTGGTTGGCGTCAGCATCATAACTAGAATGGGTAAGGACGTGGACAGCACGATTTTGAAGTCTCTGTAATTTGTCAGATAATGTTTTGGCACAGTTACCCCAAACAACACTACAATAGTCGAAGTGTGATTGAACTAACCCATGATACATATTATGTAGAGTTGCAGGAGGAACAGAGCGACTTATTTGTTTAATAGATCCAATACCAGAAGAGATTTTTTTAGATATAGCGTTGATATGATTACTCCATGTTAGATTTTCATCAATTAATACACCAAGAGACTTGGTAAAATCGACTCTGTTTAATTGTGTGCCACTAATTTCTAAGTTTGGGAGAACGGATAGACTATTCAATTTTTGTCTTGATCCGATTAACATAAATTCCGTTTTAGTCATATTGAGAGTCAATTTATTGGCAATGAGCCAATTGTTTATATTTAACAAGTCCTGATTTAAAGAAGCCTCTAGGGAGCAGATGTCATTGTCAGCATATGTTAGGTGAGTATCATCCGCGTACATTCTTGGTTGCGAGTTAGATAAACAATTAGGTAAGTCATTAATGTATAAGAGAAACAGCAAAGGCCCCAGTATTGTCCCCTGGGGAATCCCACAAGTTAAAGTGCAGCTTTTAGAAAGGACACCATTGACAGAACATTTTTGCGTACGATTTTCTAAGTAAGAAGAAAGCAATTTGTAGGCAATTCCTTTGACTCCATATAAACATAGTTTGGATAATAGAATAGAGTGATCGACTATGTCAAATGCCTTTTTTAGATCTAAAAAGACAACAGCGTTAACATAGCCACGATCTATGTTAAAGGCCCAGTTACCAGTGGCTTTGAGCAAAGCGGTTACAGTTGAGTGAAAGGATCGAAAACCAGACTGATATTTTGATAAAATATTATTTTCGGATAAATAGGAAGAAAGCTGATTATAAACTATTCTCTTGAAGACTTTTGCTATTGCTGAGATCACAGAAATTGGGCGATAATTGTTCATATCACTTCTATCGCCCTGCTTGAATATAGGCGTAACTTTGGCTAATTTCCAGTCATCAGGGAATGTGCCGGTAGTTAAACAGTAATTAAAAATAATCGAGATATATGGTGAAATAAGGTCAGCACATTCACGAATAAGCCGACTTGATAGCTTATCAAGACCAGCCCCTTTAGACTTATTTAGTTTATTCAGTAGTTTTAAAACCTGTCCACTATCAGTAGGGCGGAACTCGAATCTATTGTTAATGCCTTTGACATATTTCCGATGGCAGTGGTCATTGTTATTAGATAATGGGATGTCATTAGGTCCGTGCACAGTTCGGCCAACCCTTTTTTTAAATTTTCTGTTCCATGTTGAGCAAACAGAAAGATATGAAATTGACATCTTTTTCGATTAATTCTTTTATAATGTTACAAGTGTCGAAATTGTTTTTGCTTTAAAAACACCTTTTTATTGAAATTTTATAGTATGACGGCGCCAAAGAATTTTTGCGCTTAAAAATAATGGTAAAATCTCCAAAAATTGCCAAAATTCCAGAAGTCCTTGTTTCTTTTCTTGAATCCATAAATCTTATCCCTCCATAACAAAAATTACTCAACATCTTCTTTTTACTGTTTTATGCTATCCTTTTCCAAAAAAAGATAAACAAAATTTGACTTCCGTTTTATCGTTTTTTGTATTTTCGAAAAAAAATACAAAAACGAAAAACGAAATTCGACTTCCTTTTTTATCGTTTTCCTTTTATGTTCAAACAAACACAAAAACGGAAAAACAAAAATGACTTCCGTTTTATCGTTTTTCCTTTTATGTACGAGAAAACACAAAAAGGAAAAACAAAAATCGACTTCCGTTTTATCTTTGTTCGTTTTTGGTACGAACAAACGCAAAAAACGGAAAAACGACAAATGACTTCCTTTTATCGTTTTTCCTTTTATGTACTAAAACACACAAAAACATACAAACGGAAACTGACTTCCGTTCTATCGTTTTTTCGTTGTGAGTACGACTAATCAATGAAAGAAAGAACTGGATATAACCTAATTTTTTGTTTATAGTTTTTCGTTTTCTCTGGCTGTTTAAGTGAACCAAGAGCAGAGACAGAGAGGGGTCGAGGAGGGGGGTTTGAGTGGGGGTTGGTGGTTCCTTTCGAAACTTCGTCTAGGTCTTGTTGATCAGCAGTTTTTATAACCGTGGTATGCGTCTATTTTCGCGGGTCCTTCAAAAATGGCGGGGATGGAAAACGTAGTTACTGCCCGCTACGTGAAGGAGCTTGTTGAAGAAACAAGGCAAAACACAAAAAGAAGTAGCTGATATTTTAAGACAACAGCATCCAGGAGTGAATGGACTATCTGAGAGGAGTGTCAGGCGATTTTGTGCTACTTAATGGCATACGGCGTTATGATTCTCATGTGACTGGTGTTGATGTTCACAATGTGGTTACATCTGCGATTGCTGAGGTGATTGTAGCTTCCCTTTATAATATTAGATTCAGCTAGTGTGTAATATCGTAGCATACCTCTGCCAGTTGCAAATTGTCTTATTAGTCTTCCGTCTGCAGCCGTCATTAGGGCCAACGGGTTACTCTCTTTCCCGAATTATATATTTTATTAAACAGAGAGAAGTGTTGAGTGACGACTCAAACTTCAATGCTTGCCAGTGCGTAGGAAACCCAGGGGGGGCACTTATCGGAAGTTTCGGTAGGGGTGTGCCGCTGAGGCTTTCAAACCCTATTTACGACAACAACCATCCATTCCGATACTCTGTTTAATACAAGAGACCATTTTCATAACCCTTAAGATTATTTATTTCTATACGTCTACAGAATTAGTATTTTTATTTGTGAAAAAATAACATGATAGGACTAGATTTCTTGAAAAAATATGTTGTTGCCATCCATTGACTGCACAATGCCAGCAATCATCCCCTGTTCAAGGCCTCCGGTTCAGAAAGACACCCTGTTCAGGACCTAGAAAAGTGAAATTGTATACCCATTATAAGAATCAATATCACGAAAACTATGCCCTGTCCAGCGGCACATACCCTTTAGGCCGAATAAAGGAGTTCCGCTCCGGGGGGAGGAGACACGTTATTGTACGTGAAATGCACGCGTTTGTCAATTTTATTTAAGTGGTTATATTAATTCATATCTAATTTAACAGCCTCATCATCCACACCCAAATATTTCATTTCCTAGCGGCGATTTCCTAATAAAGGCAAAATTCCTTATATTTCTGAAAGGTTGGTGCTACATACGGTAGGAAGATGATGACTGGCCACATCAAGTATTCCACAGGCTTGCGACTAGGAGTAAACAGAGTGGGGCAGGCACTTAAACGTGTTAATCCACGCCAGCACCATGAACGACAGACATCCATTACCCGCCACTTAAACCCTGTTCCATACTATGCCGAATACTTTGGACACAAGCTCCATCTTGATCAAAACGAAAAGCTTATTCGTTATGGCGTGACAGAGGTTATAGCAGTAGATGGCTATAGCTCCTTTATAACTGCTACATCGGTAATGCCATTGAAAAATAATATCACCATCTACAGGGATGTGTTCAGGTTAGCTCTGACATGAAATATATATTATTTGCCGTGCACATTTTTCAGGTATAAAAAACTCTCAAAACTTCTCACTTGAATTAGAAGGTACAATTTAATGATACTCGTCATCCACTTGTTCTATTACTAGGGAAACCATACTACGTCATGGTTTGTTTGACCAAGTGAGAGTGGACCATGGGAGAGAATTTTATCTAGTGCTGACCGTTCAGGATCACTTAAAGGAGTTACGAAATAATACATCTAGACAGCCATACATACAAACACAGTCAAAGCAGGTACGTGGTAATATAGAGGGAAGGAGAAATGAACCGGTTATTTTCTATAGTGATCGGTCGGCGTGGACCTGAAAAACCAAATTTTCGCGGGTTTTCTGAAATAAGGTGTTAAAGAAGATATAACTCCTTAAGAGCAGGTTGAAAACCTGACGCCTTCAGTGCTAGCACGTCGTCAACAATAGGTTCAGGCTGCAAGTCCTCCGCCATGCATCCCTCTTTCCATACTTAAACGGCAACTGATTCTGCATTCTCGTCCCCAGACCCTCCTGAGGGCCTCAGCACGAAGACCAGGAGGGTCTGTGACCCAGCATTTGAAGTCCTAGATTTTAGGACTTGCGGTTATTTCCGATTCAAAAGTAAGTTACAGGATTCTCTTTTAAAAGCTTTGAATCACCTAAATTAACAGTCATTGGCACTTCGGCAAGACCAAGCGAACGCTATTAGAAACGTTGTAAAAAATCAGAAATGACCGGAAGCCCTAAAATCTAGGACTTCAGAACCTCCTGATCCTCGTGCTCTGGCCCCCAGGAGTCTTTGGCGAGTCTAGTATTGATAAGCCGATAAGTATTTGTTCTGCTTTTATAATTCTTAATTAAAGAACCATGCTGTGGAACGGCTCTGGGTAGAGGTTAACTGTCGCACAAACTATCCTATAAAGAGAGCACTCGTTCAAATGGAAAACGATGGTGTCATTGATATAGAGGATGAAGTAACAAAGTTCTGTGTCTCTTGGGTGGCAAAGAAAGTAGTGGAAGTAGGAGTGAGCTACATGGTCAACTCATGGAATTCACACCCCATTCCAGGTAAGGAGTCCTAG